TCTTATTTTATTTTAAAATTTGATATTTAATTTATAAAAATATATATTTATAACGATAAATTCAAAACGGTACGTGAAAAATTCCGGTATCCGGTACGTACCATTCCAGTAACAAAACAGGTACGCATGCCGGTACGGTATTGACTACTTTGGTTTATAGACAAACGTGAAGTTTGCACGATCTTTAGAACGAGCTCAGATACCTGGCATGTGAATGTCATCAGCGTTGAACTGGCAGGTCAGGCACTTTTTGACATAGTTCTGTGCGTCCTCAACCATAACAGGCCAGTAATACCCGTGCCTCAGGAGTTTCCGAGCTAACGTCTTGCCATCTAAGTGCGTGCCACATACTCCTTCATGAACTTTCCTCACGGTGTATTTAACTTCATAAGGAGTAAGACAGTGTAATATGGGCATTGAGGCTGCTCGTTTGTAGAGCTGGTTATCTACCAAAGTGAAGTGAGCCGCCCTGTGTTTAACCAGCTTTGCAGTGGACGGATCTTTAAGCAGCTCGCCACTTTGCAAATAATTAATGAGCGGGGTAGTCCAGCTCGGTGAAGAAGGATCTGTGCTTAGCAGTTGACACTCAATTGTGGAATCGGTGTAGCTTGGGGTGTCAAGTACTTCGACAATTGTTAATCTCTGAGGGTTAAGGTGCTGTGAGGAGGCCAACTTTGACAGCTCGTCAGCTCGGTGGTTATCTGCTCCTAGTATTTTATCGATTTGGAAAGAAACAAATATTGACTTCAACCTGTTGACCACATAGCCATAACGACCGAGCTGGGGGTCCCTCATTTCACAACTGCCATTCACCTGACCCACAACGAGTTGAGAGTCACTGAAAACCTGAATGCTTTGTACCTTTAGCTCGGACGCCAGCTTCAATCCGTAAATGAGGGCTTCATATTCTGCAGCATTGTTGGTTGTCTGAAACTTGAACCTCAGTGCGTGCTCAGATTTAAAGCCATTTGGGCCCATTAACATAGCCCCGGCACCCGATCCTTCCATGTTAGCAGCTCCATCAACATACAAAACCCAGACTGGGTGTTCAGGTGCCTTTTCTTCCATAGTTGCTGAGATACACTCGACCAGGAAGTCTGCCATTGCCTGGCCCTTGATGGTTGTGCGTGGTTGAAATTTGAGGTCATACTCGCTTAGCTTGACACTCCACCCGATGAGCCGACTAGAGAGTTCCGGCTTCTGCAGTATCTTTCTCAACGGTAGATCAGTATAAATGACAATCTGATGTGATTGAAAGTAAGCTCTTAATTTATGAGCCATGTATACCAGAGCAAAAGCAGCCTTTTCTGCTAGTGGGTAGTTCTGCTCGGCACCTTGCAAAACCTTGCTCACGTAGCAGATAGGCTTCTGATTCTTATTCTCTTCCTTGAGTAGGACTGAGCTCACCACCTCTTCTGTAACCCCCAAATACAAATATAAACTCTCTCCTTCGACAAGCTTGGATAGCAGGGGTGCTGACGCCAGATATTGTTTGAGCTCGTCAAACGCCCACTGACACTCATCGGTCCATTGAAAGTTCTTGGGCTCTCGTAGGGCCTTGAAGAACGGGAGGCATCTTTCTGCCGACCTGGCTATAAACTGATGCAGCGCAGCGACACGGCCCGTTAAATGCTGCACATCTTTAACAGTCTTGGGCGGTTCCATCTGCTGAACGGCCTGAACCTTCTCTAGATTTACTTCAATTCCTTTCTTGGATACCACATACCCTAGGAATTTTCCTGACTCTACAGCAAATGTACACTTCAAGGGGTTCAGCTTTATTTGGGCTCGGTGCAAGTTTTGAAAGGTCTCACTCAGGTCGTCTATATGATCCCCAGCTCGCACGCTGGTGACTATTATGTCATCCACATACACTTCTATGTTTCTACCGATTTGGAGCTTAAAAATGATTTGCACCAATTTCTGATATGTAGCGCCAGCATTTTTCAGGCCAAACGGCATCATCACATAGCAATAGATTGCGTCACCAGTGTAGAAAGCTGTTTTTTCCTGGTCGTCCAATAGCAACTGAACCTGATGATAACCTGAGTTGGCATCGAGGAAACTCATCCGTTCGTGCTCGGCTGCCCGCTCTACTAGCTTCTCAACATTTGGCAATGGATGAGGGTCTTTTGGACACGCCTCATTTAGGTTGGTGAAATAAATACACATCCTCCACTTGCCATTTGGTTTTTTGACGAGCACGGGGTTGGACACCCACTTAGAGTACTCCACTCTCCTTATGAAGCCTGCCTGTAGCAGGTTTTGTATCTCTTCGTCTATGGCAGCTTGCTTCTCAGGGCCAAAAAGGCGACGTTGCTAAACCACCGGCTTTCTGGTGGGGTCCGTGCTGAGCTTGTGGACTGTCAACTCCGCTTGGATGCCAGGCATTTCATCCGTAGTCCACGCAAATACATCTTGATTAACCCTCAAAAATTCCAGAAGCTCTACCCGTTCTTCTTTTGTGAGCTTGGTGCCGATCTTTACCATCCTTTCTGGCACATCAGGGTTTAGAGGCACTGTTTCTACTGGTTCCACTGGCTCTGCCTTTTGCTCGACACCCTCAGGTCGGTGCTCAATGTCTAATATACTCATTGTCTGTTGACCGACCTGAGTCGGCCTGTGAATTTCAGAATCTGTTGGTGTGGCAGTGAGCTCAACCTTCTTGAACGTATCTTGATAGCAGGCTTTGGCCATCTTCTGATTCCCCTTAAGTACCCCTACCCCCTGAGGAGTTGGGAATTTCATGCAGAGATGGGACTGTGAGATGACAGCCTTCAACTCACAAAGAGTGGCTCCTCCTAGTATAGCGTTGAAAGTTGACTCTATCTTGACGACCAGGAAGGTAACAGAAGCCATCCTGAACCGTGGTTCCAAGCCCACATAGATGGGAAGGGTAATAACTCCTTCTACTGGGATGGGTTGATTATTGAACCCATAGATGGGCCCTTCATACTTTTGTAGTGAGCTCAGATTCAGCTGCATCTTCTGAAAGCAGCTCCAATAAAGGATATCTGGCGAGCTGCCAGTGTCAATGAAGATGTTGTTGACGTTATGATTGCCTATATGGACCGTTGCCACGAAAGGGTCTGCATGAGGCATCATAACGTCGGGCTCTCCATCTGCTCGTTTATAATCTGTCAGGCTGAATGTGATGGGCGTGTTCTCCCATTCCACCTCCTCAAATGGCCGCTTTAAAGGTCTGTTCTTGTCAAGGGTCATCACCTGCTAGGCATACGCCTTACGGTCTCAAGCGTTTTGGCCTCCGGAATGCATACCACCCGAGATCATGTTTATTGTGCCTGAGGACGAAGGTATCCCAACATAGCCTACCCCTTTCCTGTCTTTCTGGCTCTGGGTGACAATTCTCTGCCCTTGGCCTCGCCTGTTGAACTAGTGGCCCTTGTTTGCTCTGCCCTGCTTAGAAGGATATTAATTATCATCATAGACGTCCTGAGCATTGCCGAGATGGTACCTCTGCCCCTGAGGTCGGTTATACCCCTGCACGAAGTGAGTTTGAGCTGGCTGCTGGGCATGAGGCTTCTGGACATATCCCTCTAATTTCCCATTGCGAGCTAAGAACTCCAGCTCGTCCTTTAAGTGTTGGCAATCTTTTGTGTTGTGACCGTATACACGATGGTAGTCACAGTGCTTGCTCTTGTCTGCTCTTGGGGAATCATGCAATGTGGGTAGGGGTCTTCTAATCCAGTGCTAGATTTACGCCAGAATTTAAGACCTTGGCAAGGTCAGAGGGATATAGTTAGCATATTTCGGGAATTCAGCTGGCTTCCCCCACTGCTCATTAACTTTCTGCTTTTTCTTTTCTTCCCTTCTTGGTAGCTGTTCGTTGCCTTTGCTCTGTTTGTCATCAGCTCGTCGCTTTGACGAGTGGAAGTCTTCTGATGGTATGAAACTAGCTAACCTGTCATTGACTTCATTCCACGTCTTTGGTGGGTTCTTTAGCAGGTCGTCTAGGAATCGGCCCCGTTTCAGACCATGCAGCAAGGCAGACAAGCAGATGGTATCAGGGACATTATCAATGTCTAAAGTAGCTTTGTTGAATCGCTGCATGTAGTCCCTCAAAGACTCCCCTTTTTTCTAGGGAACTTGCATCAGCTCGGTCGCTGTGCACTTAATCATCCTTTGGCTCACAAATTTGTTGGAGAATAGCTTGGCGAGCTGGGAGTATGAGTCTATAGAGGGTCTGGGGAGTTTATGATACTATCTCCTGGCCGTTGACTTCAGTGTCACTGGGAACACTTTGCACATCATGGCATCGTTGGCATTTTGGATTCTCATGATGGCCTGATAGGTGTGTAGGTGTTCATCTGGATCACCCGAGCCATCATACGTCTCTAGGTGGGGAATTTTGAATCCCTCTTGATATGGTTCTGCTGTGATAGATAGGTTCAGTGGGGCACTATCCAAATCAAGAGTTTGTTGATGCGACCTGGGACTTTTCAACTTGTCGATGGATTTATGTACGTCCCGTGGCTGCCTCTCAAGGTCTGCATTCTTTCTCATGAGTTCTTCACTGTGTTTGGACGAGCTAGGCTCATTGTTCAACCTCCCACTTCCCCTTGGTTTAGTCAGCACCACTATATTGCTCAGAGCAGGGGAGTTTCGAGTGGCAACAACCGTAGCTGGCTGCACATCCCTGTTCAACAAAGGAATCAAGGGACCATTGGGGATCAGGGGGGCAAGAATTTTACCCATTGCCATTTCGAGAACTCTGGTTCTTTCTTCGAGCTCGGTTGTCCAAGCAGGTTCTGTTGACCTTTCAAGTCATTCATGTTGTGAATTGTATGGTCTAGAACGTCTTTGTCTTGTTCCTAATGGAACTTGAAACTGTTCAGGTTGAGTTGCATACCCAGTTGGTGTTCTTTCATCATCATCTATTTCACTTAGGTGATCTTGTTTTGCTCCTCCGACGAAAAGGTTTCTTGGCATAGGCCTAAAATCATTCAAGCCGGGCTCGGATACTTAAGCATCCTCCTGTTCGTCCATTTCATTTCGTGGAGGGCGACCTCTTGTAAAAGTACAAACCATTTTTTCTTTCAGCAGGTTAAGCTACACAACTTCTTGTTCAAGTTCCCACAGACGGCGCCAAATGTTTGGGCAGCTACGCAATCCAACACTGTTGAAGTCCTCAGCTGCTTCTACACCTGTAAATCCCTAGGATGTTTCCTCGGGGAAAACACTCCGACGCTCAAGTTAGCAATACTCGATATTCTAGAGAAAGATGCTCTCAAGGAGTAATTGTAGAGGGAGAATCGTAGAGATTAATTACCTTCTTCAGAGGTAGTTGGGGGGTGTTTATAACCCCAAGTGCTGACATGCATCCGCACATGTAAGCCTCCCATTGACCCACGTTTACTGCCCACGTGGGCATGTCTCGTCACCTTGGGCCAGTGGATGTATGATTGGACCTGCATCATGTGGCCCAGAATGGGTGTTAGGCCTAATCCCAACAGGTGATAATGGTTTGCGAAAGGTTGAAAATTATGATTTAAAGGCTTAGTTTCGTTCTATTTGTTATAATGGTTAAAATTTAATAAATAATAAATAATAGATATTAGATAATATATAATAAGTAGTAGATAGTGGATAATAATTTATGGATAATGGAAAATGAATAGTAAATAATAAATAATGAATTCGATTAATATAAATATTTGATTACACAATAATTAATGGTTGTTGTTGAAATTAAATAACTAATAAAGATATATTTAAAAATAATTAAGTGTATTTTTTATATATTTTTTTATTATTAAAATTAATGGTTGTTGTTGAAATTAAATAACTAATAAAGATATATTTAAAAATAATTAA